ATATTAATTCATACCAAATCAAACCCGAAATTTTAATTCAATTAAAAACGTTCTTATTACTGAGTAAACTGTAAGATTTAACAATTAAGAAATATAAAAAAATTAATATTGAGTTCATAACAGTTATGTTTACTTGAGATGCTTATGTAGAAGACCAATTTAACTTTTTTTTCATATAATTTTTTCTTTGTTTCACAAATGGAATATATTTCACAATTATTTTTCATAATTCAGGAGATTCCACCTATTTAACCATAATTCAATCAATTTCAGCAAAATAAGTCAATTCTATTTATTTTAGTATTATCAAACAGACTCTATATTAGACTAAGTTTATTTTTATTTTAAATCACATTATATGTGATTCGATAGAAATTAAATTTCAAATTAGCTAAATTATATATTGCCCGTGCATCGCACGAGCTTGAAAGCTAGTAATAAAAGTAACAAAATAATTCAAGCATCCCGGTTTTATCAGCCGCAAGGAAGGGAGAAGAGGGTTGTCCATCCACCTCCAATGGAAGCATCCCGACTTTACCAACCATCGAGAAGAGAGAAGAGGTTTGACCAGCCACCCCCAAAGGAATCATCTTGTTTACGGTACCTAACAGTATTTTAGGCGGTGCTGTTTCGGGAGCACCGTCGCCTTGCTGTTTTTTTATCCCTCACCATCAACCTCCTCGATTGACATCCTTTCATATGCCTGATTTAAGCTCTCCATTAATGGCAACCAAAATGAAACCCAAATATGAGATAGAGAAGAAGAAGCAATGTAACTCACGATCAAAAGCTCAAACACGTTCACAATTAGAACGGACAAAACCCTCGGCCAGAGAAACTTCAGCTAAGGTTGACAATTGTGACCAGTCTGATAGATATCCATACCGAACCGCCCTAGTCAAAACGGGAAAGCCGCATTGACCCGATAAAGGGTACGAGGTGGTGAATACCCATTTTGTTTTTATGGGCGGGAAAATCAATACATTCTTTTATGTAACCCTTGGCAACTAATTTAGCGTTATATCAATGATTTATTGATCCCATATGGTTTTATGTTCTTCTTAAAAATTGATTTGCATCCAATATATTGCGCCCAAGAGAAAGATCAATGAGCTACCCATTTGCATCCAAAAAACCACCTCTTTCTTTTTAGACATAAGGTGCGGTTCCTGAAAGAAATCTAAAAGTAAACAAGATTCACATTATATACAAATATCATTGAATAACAAATTTTAATAGAAAGATATATTATTCTTTACATTATTACCCCCCCCCCCCAAAAAAGTAATTGAGTCAACCACTAGAAAACTTAACTCACGACATATGCTAGACCATATACTATCCTCCGTTCTCTAAAGGTTGCAATAGTTTCACTTTCACATTTGCCAACACATAACTTTGACTGTAATTATATTTATTGTGTATTAGTAAACATAAAAAAGTTGATATTTTTGAAAATTTACACTAATAAAAATTTAATAACATTTTATACATAATATTTTGATTATATATATTATTAGAAAATCGTATGTGAATATTTCAAAATCTCAATGATGTAACTTTTAAAGAATGGATGAAGTATATTAGATGAGGCGTCTCTATTTGATGTTATCCCACTAGTGGAGTGTAGGAAAATCACATCAAACACATAGTTAACTCAAATCAAAATCCTACTCTATGGTTACCAAATCGGAATTATTTTATATGTAGTAACGTAACGAATGTCGACGTTCTTTGAGCAGTAATGTAACGAATTAAAGGTTTACCTATGCTTCAACTCTTATTTGATATCTACCTTCAAGATTTCTAGTTTTGGTTCAACTTCCTTTTTAATCTAGAGTTTTTGTCTGCTTCACGTGAGCGTGAAATGTGTTCTCCTAGCGATGTCTAAGTGTTGTGTGTTTCTCGTTGGTGTAATCAATCGAGTTTTGAATTTTCGTTGTTCATGCTTGGTAAAGGATGTTCAAAGGAGTGTTTTCTGAGGCCTTACTTGCCCCCCCCCCCCCCCCCCCCAACCATTGCCTCGCTTTGAGAGAGCTCAACTGGATCTCTTTTTCGGTGGCTGGTCAAACTGGTGGTTTGGATAATTTCTGCTCAATAATGTTTCCTTTGTTGGTTGCTGGTCAACTCAATTATTGTAACGCCCGTACTTTTATTTACTTCTTACGTGCTAATCACTCTTATTATGATCATGCTTTAACTTATGTTTGAGTGCTATATGTGTGAAGTATAGGGATAACATGATTATGAACTTTATGAAAATGATATTTGAACTCACATGCTTGTATTATGTTTGAACGTGACAGGCGACGGTATACGATGAGCAACGAAACTACACTGTAATAATCATTCGTGTTTTTGAATGTAATGATACATCAAGTTATTTGTCATGTTAGATTGTATTTGAGTGTTAAAATATAGTTTAAAAAGGTCATTGGGGGTCTAGGATGGGATCGGTAACGATCGGGGTCGTTTTAGGGCGAAAAATGACGTTTTCGGCACCCGATTGACCTCAAACCGGCGCCGGTTGGACCCGGACCGGCGCCGGTCCAAAACAGAAACTTTAGGGTGTTAGATTGGCAGGGAAACCGGCGCCGGTTCGGTCGGGTTTGGCAGAGTCGGTCAAAATTGCTTTTAAGTGCAAAAAACCCCCTTTTCAACCCAAAATCGATCCCAGCTCGTCCTTCACTCTACAAATCAATCTCAAACCATTTCTAGGGTGATTCAAGCTCAAATTAAACATATTCTTCATCAAAGATCATCACTTGGTAAGAATTTTACACTTTACATGAAGAATTTTGCTATACTTGATCCGTAGTTCTTGTTTTGGGATTTAACTAGGGTTGAGTGAACTTTGGGTTGATTCTAGGAAAATTAATGGATTTTCTAGATAGTAAGTTTGATTTGGAGTTGTTGTTTGGCTTGGATTTAACAAAATTCAATTTGTTCTTGAATAACTAGATATATCAAAACTATATCAAGTTGATGAAGGAATTTGGGGAATCTTTTAATATGTATAGACTGAATTTAAGTAGATGTATAGAACTCTTGAATTCCCTTATGCCTAAGTCTTAAGGTTTTGGTTAAAAAAAACATGAGGTTATGTTGATCAAATGTAAATAATGTATATAGTTGCTCAATCGAAGAACCGTTGCCCGTGGACGCTTTATACGCACAATCAAGGGTAAAAACTCCACGTGAATCAGGTAAGTCATCACCACCTATACATGATAGTTTGAAATAAACATGGAAGTCTAGCTGTCTATGAATTGGATAGTTTTGCTTGAACACTTGAATTTGTATGGCATAAGATTATGTGAATGCTCAGTTATGTATACATGTTTGTAGGTGAGGTTGATTGAGAACTTGCTGAGTTATCAGTGTAAGGTATCCAAGTTTTATGTTTACGGTTAGGTTGGATTTATATGGAATCCAACAATAAATGAAAGTTGTGATGATAATGATATCTAATGAATGATAAGAAATGTTCTAAGGTAGCCGTTCCCCCAAGTAATTACCTGAGCTGAACGGAGCGGGATCTCCTTCCGCGGGGAGTCCCGGGAATTACTTCTAATGGCTGCGGGCTAGCTACCCAAGGTCGTTAGCGAGGGGCCAGGACACGAGCTACGGGCCCATTATGTCATGTAGCAAGATAGGAAGAAAGAATGATAAATGACGAAATCTTTTAGATTTCGTTACATGATGTTGTAATTTACATGATATGAATATGATGTGAATATGCTAGGTGTATGATGTGTTCTAGCTTATGTATCTAATTATGGCTAGCTAAGACTCCGTTATTTTAGTGGATGTAATGGTGACTTACTAAGCAAATTTTGCTTACGAGACTTCTGTTTTTCTCGTGTCTCATGTATAGGTAATGAATGAAGAATGGACCTGAGAGAATGTTCGGGTCGGGTGGCGAGGCTGTGGATGGGTTAACGGAAACGACCTGGCTGTGTCTCATGTTTTGTTGTTTTACTATGTCACTTTTATGAGTTGTTTTATGTTTTGTTTTAAAAATCCTGATCAGGTGTGATGACTTTGTTTTAAGCGTGATTGTTGTTGGTCTTTTGACATTTCAGTTATGGGGTTTCTTATGTATATAGAAAATAAAGTTTCGTGACGAGACTTTGTATTATGTAATACCCCGCTTTGTATATAGAAAATAAAGTTTCGTGACATTTCAGTAATGGCCGTTTGGGGACGGTCGTTACAATTATCCTTTCTGGTGGCGGGTGAAGTTGAACTTTTTTTACTTTTAGTTTTTTTCTTTGGAGTAGCAAGTGCAGCAGGATTATTAGAGTGTGATACAATATTGCAGTGTTACTGGTGAAAGGATTCATGAGTTTTTTTTTTATGTCACATCCCATTGTGTTCACTTAGTTCATTACTATCATTTATTGAAGAGAATTACCCTAAATAGGACTAAAAACGTTTGTAAATTTCAAAATGGGACTGTCGTGTTTTTAATTCCCAAAATGGGACTAATTACTGTCATGTTTTGGCAGTACCAGACTTTAAACATGGCAGTATTTTCCAAATTTGACAGTAATTACTCCTATTTTGGGAATAAAAACATGACAGTCCTATTTTGGAATTTACAAACGTTTTTGGTCCCATTTCAGGAACTTTCCCTTTATTGAATAAATAAATTATTTTATTTCAAGAAATCAAGTCACATGCTCCATATTTTATGTATTTTAAATGCGACTGTTTATTTGTTTTTAGTGTAGATTGTTTATTTTGTTAGTACATAAAATAACAAAAAACTTCCAATTATGATAGGGAAAGATATGTTTTTTCAATTGATTATTTCGTAAAATAAAACAATAGAGTGACCGAGTGAACTTGGTAAAAAATTGATAGTGGATGATCAAAGCTAACTAAAATAATATTGTAGAATTGTGACAATACTAATTTAGTGCATTAACTCAATTACTTAAGTGAATGTATATTCTTACATGTTCATATTTTTTCACTCGTATGAGTCAGTCTTTAGTCGAAAATTTGGTCTATAATTTTCTTTAATGAGTCTACTATGACCGGAATCCCCGGATAAAAACAACGCGATCGAACACACTTCCAGATTCTCTCGTACTTGCAGAGTTGCAGGCCAGCGAAGACGACGCTTATTTCTTCTTTCTCTGTAGACTTCCGTGAGCTGGATTTCATACTCGCGTCGAATATCTAACTCGGCGAATCCGATCCCGGGTTTTCCTTGATTTCTTGACAAGTTTTGGTAAGCTCTATTTTCCAGTGCCTCTGAAATGAACTTCTCTTTGATCTGTGAGCTGATTTGGTCAGGTCAATTAACCCTTGCTATCGATCTTCTATGGTGGATTGAATGTATACATTTGTCTCTAGAATGTCATGATTACACAGAGTAATTTCCGGGGAATGTATGCCAGCTTGTTGTTCCAGCCACGGTTACTGTTATTACTAGGACCAGCTTTTTCTATTTCCAATTTGAAATGTTATTTTGTTTTCCAGGCCATTTCTGTAAGGTTAGGTTTAGTAGGCTCCAGAAACAAACTAAACTCATGGTGTTAAATCAATGTGTCACTAGCTCTTTTATAATTCACACGTCTACTCCCAGCTATGACAATTGACAAATGAAATGAGAATGCTGATAATTTGTGGAAGTGAAAGTATGCACTATGCAACTAACTGTTTTGGTTGGATTGGGTGTAATATGACTCAACTTTTAACTCCGAATTCGTATGTAGATTCATGTTAGGTGATCCCAAACTCTTTTGGAACTAACTCACTAAGGCTTCGACATTGTTATTGTTGTTGTGGGTGTAATATACCTCAACAAAGAAATGATATAGCAATATACTCCGTACATGATTGCAGGGCTGCTATTAGTGCTGGATGAGTACAGAACTTGAATATATGGAGACAAAACCCCTATTTGTAGATGTGAAATCGACCCTAGGGACCCTATTAGAAAATGGAATGCTTACAAGATTTCACTGAAGAGGTGATTTTTTTTTGTGAAAATTGGTGTATAGCAGCATAGGTAAGGCGGAAACTCTTGTGTGAGTGCATATACTTGGTATCTATGCAGACTATATCATCAATTTTTGTGTCCAGTGATAGAAGTGACATTTGATAATACTCGAAACTGGCAAGATCATTGGAAGATTTATAATTCAATTAAAACCCCATATAATGCACAAAATTAGACATACTCCGTATTATGTTTCATAAATATACACTTTGGCATGGTATCCAAACCTGTCACCTTATAATGTTTTCCGCTTTTCTCCACACAGTTTGCAGAAATGTCCAAAGCTGAGCTGCGTTGGTAGTTTACTTTCCACTATATGATGGTATGAACTCGCACTTTCTCTACTATTTTGGACTGCATTTCACATCAATTTTTTATTAAATACGATATTTAAAACCATAGATGAAACATTCAGACTCGTGTTTCTCATCAACACTTTCTTTTGGACTAAATTTTATACGGAGTACGTGACTATGCTACTTAGACGCAATATAGTCCGTGAGCATTCCTTGCAGCAAGTAAGAAGGGTTTTTTTATACATTGAGGATTAAATTGGCTGATTTTGCTCCAAATTACAAAATCTATGACCAATCTGGGTCTAAATTTAATGAACTTATGAAAATAGCCTTACTTGTAATCACATATGTCTAGGACTAAATGGGACTCAAAAGTAATAGTTGAGGACCACATTGAGTCCAAAAAAGTTAAGGACTAAATTGAGTTACTATATAGTCAAGAGACTAAACTGGGTGTTTATTCTTAAACTTTTGCCTATTTTTTTTAAACAACTTTTACGTAGTTGAACCAGAAGTTGGCAAGTTAACTATCTTCATTAGGTTACTTTAGACTATCTATTTACATGGCTGGACTTATAAAAATACTTATATACGCAGTACTACAGATCGTAGTCACAGTACTACATTACTCCTACCTCCATCCATATTTAAAGTTCCTGTTTTGACCATACTTACAATTACTTTATCAAGTTTACAATGAATCATTTTTTTAGAAAACAAACTAAACATATTGCTCAAAAAGTATTTTAAGGTTTATACATAATATTAAATATTAATTAAGCATAATAAACGGGCAAACAGCCAATGCTAACAAATTTTTAACTTCAAAAAGTCAAAATATGAAGTAGGGACAAGAGGGGGTATATTTTATTAATGATAATTAAAATTGCAATGAAATGTTCTGTTGTGAATGAAATGCTTTCTGAACACCCTTACCCTCACACACAAAAAGCCAAAGATAATAGAAGAGTAATGTAATGGAATTTTTACTATAACCACAAGGATCATCAGAACAACTCGACTTTAAGGACATACATGGCCATCATGGCCGAGAGGGATGCCGCCATCCTAGAGCGCAACCTGGCCATAGATGAAAGGAAGAGAGCTTTAGCAGAGCGTGACATGGCAATGCTACAGAGAGATGCAGCAATCTCTGAGCGCAACTCCGCCATACAGGAACGCAACGAGGCCATATCTGCCTTTCAATTCCGGGAGATGATCCCTTCAACCGAAGTAGAAGATCAAAAAAACATTCTTCTTCATCCTCAAATGGTCTCCACCTCTGCTGAACCCTTCAACATGACGACAACAAACCCTGCTCCTGAAACAGATAATCCCAGGAAGCTAAGGCTGCAACCAAACGAAAGCAAACCGGAAAAGCCATCAAAGTTGCAGAGGGTGGTGATTAAGGGTGAGAGTTTAGTGGATTGGCAGGCAGTTTCCACGTTCGGAGACTGGGAGGATGATGATGAGGACCGAATGGGCCCCGATGATGAAGAAGAGGAAGACGAACAACAAGATGACAAGCACCTCCTAGATACGTGGGACTCCGCAAATGTGTCTGGGATGCCGGTTCCGGTATGTTCATGTACTGGAACACCGCAGCCGTGTTACAAATGGGGAAATGGAGGGTGGCAGTCAGCTTGCTGCACGACCACCATATCAATGTACCCTTTACCTCAGGCTGCACATAAGCGCTACTCTAGAGTTGGGGGGAGGAAGATGAGTGGAAGTGCATTCAGTAAATTGGTCAGCCGCCTCACAGCTGAAGGGTGGGACCTGTCTGCACCACTTGACCTGAAGGACCATTGGGCTAAACATGGGACTAATCGGTATAGTTCAGTAAAATAGTATTAGCATATTGAAAAAAGATAGTTTTCCTGCTTTGTCTTCTTTAGATCTTGATGACTGATTATTATGATCTACATTCTTGTTGTGAAAGAAAGAATTAATGAACTTCTTGCACAAAGATTGGTCTTTAACTCTGCGTTTACTGTCGCATGATTGTCTCAAGAGGTATCATTTAAAGTTTGCTTTTAACAATTGTTTTATAATTTTTCCATACCATTAAAATATTTGAGTTGTTAGAAAATGCCTTTTATTTGACCCCCAATTCACCGGTTCACCCCGTTAAGGAGAAGTGGAGAACATTGGCACCATTATGCTGCGCCCATAGCTGCTGTAGATACTTCATCCACGCTACAGTAAATGAGTGATATTGGAATGGGATCCACACAAGTCAAATACTAGTACTTAATTAGTAAATAGTCTGATTGTGAATTGGGAAAATAGTTCACCGGAAATTTCCATAAATTGGATTAATTCATAACCGATTACTGTTGTTTTTCTTACTCCGCATAATATAACAGTGTTTTTGTCACTTTTAGTCCTTCGACTATTATGTCATTGACATTTTTGGTACTCAATTTGAGTTTTTCCACTTTTAGTCCTTCGACTATTGTGCGAGAGACGATTTTGGTATCCGTATTTGAAAATTTTCACATTTAGTCTTTCGATGTTCATAAAAGTGAAACTTTTAGTCCTTCAACAATTATAATAGTGACATAATAGTGACTATTATTGTGTCAAAATCATAGTGGATGGATTAAAAATGTCAATTTGATAATACTAAGGAGACTAAATGTGGGAAACATTAAATTTGAGTACTAAAAGTAGGGGTGGAAACAGGCCAGGCCAGGCCAGGCTTTCGCCTAAACAGGCCAGGCTTGTTTTAGAAAATATAGGCCTGAGCCTGGCCTGTTACCTGTTAAATGCCTGTTTTTTCGGCCTGGGCCTGGCCTGTTTAAAAGCCTGGCCTGGCCTGAAGCCTGTTTACCGGGCCTGTTAAGGAAAAAAATAAAATTTCAAAAAAAATACAAAATGAAAAGTGAAAAATCCTTTTAATCCGGTATAAAATTTATTACCCCAAATATTCACTAAAAAGTCTAATAATATGTTAGTTTTGCTTTGGATGTCTAATAATACATTATTATGGAGTATTATTATGTAGTTTATAAATTTCTATGTACTTTGATTCTTAAAAAACTTTGAATTTCAATTACCTTAATAAACTATTAACACACTTTATACGGAGTATATGTTTAAAAAAGCAGTCTATTCTAATTTATAATACACACTCCCTAAAAATACTATTATACTGATTTGGATATAGTTGAGTATACCAATATAAATATAAATAATACAAACAAATATAAATATAACTAAATACATACACACACATAAATAGGCTGACCTGTTAAGGTAAAAAGGCTTTAGAGTTGGGCTAAACCTGGCCTATTTAAATAAACGGGCTTTTAGAAAAGCTCAAGCCTAGCTTGATTACTAAACAGGCCAGGCCAGGCCAGGCCAGGCCTTTAACAGGCCAGGCCACGGGCCCCTGACAGGCCGGCTGGCCTATTTCCACCCCTAACTAAAAGTGTCTCTCACACAATAATCGAGGACTAACAATGAAAAAATTGAAAATCGAGTACCGAAAATGAAAAAATTGAAAGTCCAAAAGTGTGACTAATAGTTGAGGAACAGAAAATGAAAAAACAATTATAGTGTTAACAAACTTTCCTTCTTTATATAGACACATACACATGACATACTTCCTTCTTATCTAATTGTGATAGTTTGATTCTCACGATGGCTAATATGGAGTATATTTTAAAGACTATTAGTAAAAAAATCAATTTTAAATTTCATAAGTTTACATTGAAACAAATTTGGTACTTGTTAGAGAGAACAAAAGTACGGAGTAATAGATAACAATAAGCAATAAACGTTACTCCCTTCTCTCCATATTTCATTTTCTTTCTTTTAGTTGGACAATTTTCTATTTAAAAGTTGTAAAAAGGAGATCAGTAACATTAAACACAACATCATTTTCTATTTATGGGAGAGATATAAATGAAGAAGAAAGTTTTTTCAGGAACATTCTTCTAAACCTATTATAGTATCTGCTCTTGTTAAAGTCAATGTCCTTGATTGGGATAAGACTCGAACATGCGACATCCTCTTTGGGAGATCAGCATCGATGCCATCAGACTAAAAGTACTTGGCTGAAGAAGAAAGTATTTGAACGCATGATATTGAACAATAATTTGGAGTAATTGTACCATTTAAGTAAAAAGTAGTGCACTGTCCAAATTTCTGAAGCTTGAGTCTAAGGGTATGTTTGGGAGTTGGTTTTTGGGAAAGAGGGGAAGACATGTGAGAGTTGCCATGTGAGGGTTGATGATCCTCTTATTTGTGTTTGGGAGTTTAAAAATGTGGAAGAATGGTTTTGGAATGTTTTTGTCACCCTCCAAAACCTCTCAAATGCTCGATTTTTAAGTTCCTCCAAAATGGAGGCTTTTGAAGGATAACTAACTAAAAGATAATTTAAGCTCAATCTTGAATGAATAACAATTCAGTTATTTAAAGTCATCATATCTCAGAAGTGTTTTTAGTTATAGAGTGCTGTTCCGGTCAGGAATTTCCTGACCGAAGCCCCGTCCGGCCTCCTCCATTTGGGGGTCTTCCCGGTGGTATTTTTTTCTCAAATTTTTTGTGAAGGTTCCTCATCAAGTCTAGTTCATCCATACCAAATTTTAGTCAAAAATTCAATCGGGAAGGTCGTCAAATGATTTTTGCAAGTTAACTGGTCTGGAAAATACATATTCCGGACCAGTTAACTTGAAAAAAATCATTTGACGACCTTCCCATTGAAGTTTTGGCTGAAATTTGGTATGGATGAACTAGACTTGATGAGGAACCTACACAAAACATTTGAGCAAACAATACTACCTGGAAGGCCCCCAAATGGAGGAGTCCGGACGGGGGGAGTGGTCCGGCCTGGCCGGACCTGAATATTTGTCTTTAGTTATAATTCTTTCTAGAACTCTTTTTTTCTTCTTCCAAATTTACTACTCCCAAGTCAAACAAAGGGTTGCCTCACGGCCCTCACCTTTCCCTCCCTTCCCCCCAACAACTTATCTTCAAAGTCTTCCACTCTCTTTCCATCCAAACATATCCTAAAGTACTTCATCACCATGTTGATTTAGTGTGTTAAGTGTCAACTCTTGTTATTCACTTGATTTGAATCCTAGGCTTCTTAAATGCACCAGATCGGAAGTGTGAGATGTGATCCATTTAAACCCCCTAATTGTCAATTGTCACTTAAACGAAATTGTTAATTAGTTCAATCTCCATTTGGTCATTATATTGACAATATATATCGCATGCTTTTGACAAACATACGTGTGTGAGAGAACAATTTGCAGGATATAAAGTAACTAACTGGTGGCGCAAATGTTGCTTTGTTTTTGGTATAAGTTTGGTTTGGTATAAGGTATAATTAAATATTGAAGTGATCGAAGTGACTATCCACCTATAGAAGCAAACTATTATGTGCACGTAGAAGCTTATAAAATGCGTGCCTTCTTATTTTATTTTACAAGTTGGCTGTCAGATCATCATGTGCATCTAACGACATGATAATAACATTCGTTTTTATTGCTAATCCAGAAAAAAAAAATTGTTTAGTTTTGTTCTGGTCTAATGTGATCTGATCTGGTCTGAATTGTTCTGTTCTGGTCTAATAAACGTCTAGTTTTGTGTATTTTATGACTATTTAAGTCTAGTTTGATTTGATCTGATCTGGGACTGAAAACAGTCCAAGTAAAAACATCTTAAAAGGTTTCGTACAAACAATATTCCAACGTATACTCAATACCAAATTTGGAATCAATCTCATAGTTAATACATTTAATCATTTATGTATTTGAACATTAAGCTCAATATATATGCATTTATTTAAAAACTAATAACATATTTATGACTAAAGTAAAAATACTATAAAAATGTGACTTCTTAATTTTATTGACTATAAAAAGTAAACTATATTCATAGTAACATATATTCATAGTTTACGCTTAAGTAGTTGTGACATTATACTCGTAGTAATGGTTTTTTTTTTACAGAATAAGGTTGTTGGTCTTGAATCTTATTTGAGATATTACCCAAAATGGGACTAAAAAAGTTTGAAAATTCCAAAATAGGACTTCCATGTTTTTATTCCCAAAATAGGACTAATTACTGCCATGTTTTGACAGTAACAGACTTCAAACATGGCAGTATTTTCCAAATTTGGCAGTAATTAGTCCTATTTTGGGAATAAAAACATGGCAGTCCTATTTTGGAATTTTCGAACTTTTTTAGTCTCATTTCGAGAACTTTCCCATCTTATTTTCCATCTAAGAAGACTTGAAAAAATATATCTTCGTTTAGGAAATATGATTACAAGTACTCTTAATTGAAAAATAAAAACAACAGTACAAGTCCTCTTGAAAAAAGTCTCATAGTAATTTTAGTAAAACATGAAAATATGAAACACTGAAAATATGAAACACTAAAAGTCTCATACAAGAAGACTACTGAAATGAAGCCCGACAAAAAATGAAGATTTTTTAGCTCATTAGCTTCTTTTGAATGATCCGCTCTTTTAGAGACTGAGATTGTTTTCATTTCTTTAATTTGTAAATTACTATACCACGTAAGAGTCCGGAGTTGGGGGCACTCTCATTTTTTAATTGGGGGCACTTTTTCTTTTTCATATTAAAGAATGAGAAATGGTCTAACATAGGAGTGAAACAAGACCCGTTTACCAAAATAGGAGTTCTTTCTTTTAATGACCTAAATAAGAGTATTTTTAATATACATGGACATATTTACCCCTCTATTCTTTAATTTGAAACGGAACGCGTCACATAACAGCAGCCCATCATTTAACTTATCGCATCCATCTCTCTCCTTCTCAACGCCCCTGTCTACAAGTGGATTCCTTAGAGCAATTCCAATACTGAGGTGCATTGCTATTCCACCTCAGCAAATGGACTTGGTGGGTGTGTTTGTCATCTGCAATGCAAAAAAGAATGGAAGGGGTGAAGCTGATGTGGCAAAGAAAAAAATGGACGGAGGTCTCATACAAGGTCCATCTCTGGACCTTCGGTTGCACCATCTGACACAAAGAAAGAGAAATTATTGAGGCTACTTGCA